CCTGTCCTTGCATACGTGAGTACAATTGCATATTACAGAATTATCAGAGAAAAAAAGAATATGACCAGGATATAACCATTCACCTTACTTCTTTCAGTACTTTGAGACAGCCTCAGGGCCAGTTAGCCTTTATGTAAGGCAGTATTAGGTATGCTGGAGTGCAAATCTGATCTTCACGTCAGTTTTGAATCTGACTTGCTGATTTGTGCCATAAGACATTCAGTTGGGTCTTGGTAGACAGTGGCCTTTTGGCTTTGTTTTCGCCAAAGCAATGGCAAATGAGACCACACCTTTGTCCATTTTGAAAGTTTTCGAATATTTCTGGATGCTGTTGGAGGAGTTGTTGCATTTCAGCTCAGAGAGCTGAAATTTCTCCTGAAATTCAGGAGAATTTCTAGATTGGTGTGTGCATGCATGTACACAACTGCAATACATAGTTCTGGGGTAGGATAAGGCAAACAGCGGTTCTCTATACCCATTGGTAGGAGCACCCTAAAAGGTAAAAGTCCTGTCTGGAGGCAAAGTAACTATATCCTCTGAGCAAAAACCAACTAATGTTAAAGAAAAAGTCTGGGCTTCACTGAACACCCAGGCTATGTTCACTAGCTTGCACTTCAATTCTAATTCCCACATATATCAGAGGTCTTCAAATGCAGTAGCAAACATCATGCATACTAAGAAGTGACCATTTTTTACATGCTTTACCTGCTTCATGATTGCAACATGGGTTTCTTACCTTTGCCATTAGACTCTGATGCTTCTAAACTGTTATGTAAAATGCCAAAAGATCAGTCTCTGGTTAACTTAAGCCACAACTAAATTTTGTCTACCATCATAGGACAAATGGATAAGATCAGCGTGACACACAGGGAAGTATAACTTCACAGACAAAGAGAACAGAGGGGAGAAATATGCTGTGAAGGGGAAAAGCTGTTAACGTTAAAAGAATAAGGATCAGAAGTCAAAACTCATCAATTTATTGGCAAAATAGATTGGTTTTATATATATCTCTTCTCCCATCTTTCCATCCACATGACAATCTTCTCTTTAATGTGTTAAAACTCAAAAGATCAATATGGTCTAGGAAGAAGTATGGTATGAGCTCAAAGCATGCAGTAACAATTGCCTTGTGATAAAAGAGCAGAGCTCATTAAACAGAGATGATTTAGGCGCTAAAAATTCTTCCCTGTGCTGCTGTGGCATAATGAGAATTGCCATACTGTACAAATACTCGTTTAGCATCCAAACAACTGGTATGTAAAGTGGAGTCATAAGGCTACTTTTAGGTTGTTAAATAACTGAGAAACAGAGTAGGTGGCCTGTTGAATTATAATGAACTCTCTTGTGTGATGCAATATATACAGAAATCCAAACAGAACAAAGAGCAGTCTTGAGCAAAACGTGCTTTCAGCCATGTGGCAATGTAACTCATATTTCACCTCCCTGAGTGTTTACAGCCTTTACAGTATTTGAAACTGAGCATCTTCTATAATAGCAACATATTAATCTCTGCAGCTAAGTCTATGAGATTTGACTAGTGTTGGTATTGCAATAGAAGATGAATTAACATATGCCTGTGTAATGTATATTCTCTGTACTTAGTGATAATGCACCGCAGCAGCAGTTTGAGGAAAAAAAATAATTGAATACAAATGCAAAGATATGAACTATTGATATATTAATCAGGTTAAAGCAATTTGAAAGTGTGAAAAAGATTACTAAATAAATAAATCTAAATTATTAAATACACTACTGTTTATATTATTAGTAGCTCTATATTTAAGAAAGCAATGATCTGAGATACTGAATCAGATGAGAGCTTAACAAAGCGATGGGAAAATGGTTCAGCTATGGTATTAGAATTACTAGAATTACTCAACGGAGGTGATTCTGCCCCCTCTAGTCTGCTCTTGTGAGATCCCACCTGGAATACTGCATTCAGGTCTGGAGTCCCCAACACAAGAAGGACATGGAGCTGTTGCAGTGAGTCCAAAGGAAGGTCGTGAAGATGATCCGAGGGCTGGAGCCCCTCTGCTATGAAGACAGGCTGAGAAAGTTGGCTCCAGGGAGATCTTATAGCAGCCTTTCAGTACCTGAAGGGTGTCTATAAGAAAGCTGAAGAGGAACTTTTTACAAGGGTATATATTGATAAGACAAGGGGCAAGGGCTTTAAACTGAAAGAGGGCAGATTTCAATTAGATATAAAGAAGAAATTTTTTATATTGAGGGTGGTGAGGCACTGGAACAGGTTGCCCAGAGAAGTTGTGGATGCCTCATCCCTGGAAGTGTTCAAGGCCAAGTTGGATGAGGCTTTGCGCAACCGTGGTGTCTCTGTCCATGACAGGGCGGTTGGAACTAGATGATCTTTGAGGTCCCTTCCAACCCTAACCATTCTATGATTCTATGATACTATTACAGACAGAAAGGCTAGAAGTTCCTGGCTCAGGCACCAACACGTGAACATACGCTACTAGAAATCGCAAGAGAGAATTATTTTCTTTCCATCTAGTTCACTAGACTTACATAGGCCTTCGTTAATATGACCTAAAATCTCTTCTTAGAAAGGAGGACTGGAATAGCCATGCAATCTGTCTGTCTGAGCATCTGTACGTGCACAATACCTTAGCTGTGAGAAATAAGAAGGAACTAAAATAATCTTGATTTTTTTCAGATACCATCATCTCATGAGAATAAAACTTGACTTTTTCACTTTCGGTGACCTCCAATGCAACTCATATTGTGAATCCTCTTTTTCGTATGTAGACCTTCCCTGCATTTCAGTTACATTTTACATAAATTTTACATTAGAGTAAGAGTAGTTCTTTTAAAATAATAAAACAAAGTCTTAATGAAAGTACTTCAGCAGCAACAATGACAGCCAGAAAAAAAAACACCGCTAAAAAAAACGCTCCGACATTGCTTGCCAAATATGTGCTTTATAAGCATGAATGGCTTGCTTCCAAACCTGGTGAATCGGAGTGCTGCATTCACAACTGCTACAACCTGTCAAGCCCATCAGTGGTTAGAAAAGTCTGGGACGTATTACCCCAATTTGTATTTTTTAGAGAGACAGTTCTATTTCTAGTTATCGTGGAGGAGATGACAGTAACGTGATTTTAAATGAGAAAAAACACCCACCAACAAAAAAGGCAGCCTCCTTAAATTGCCCAGCACAGGGTGGCTAATGACACCATCATAAGATCAGCTTTGCTACTTCCAGGCTTTGGTACTTCCAGAAACATGTTGTTGCCAGCAACTACGAATAAACTGGGAGCTCCCTCCTGGTAATAAGAATGTCGAAGAAAAGCCTGTGAATAGGCACAGTAGGGGAAGTTGGCTTCCAAAGCAATAACTTTCTTTTCCACTACTCAGAGCTGGAGCTGCCATAAGGTGGACATGTCCCCTCATTGCCACACAGTAGGCAGACAACCTGGCAGTTCTGTGGCCAGAAACCAGATGGGATGAAGGCTGGACTGGCCTCTTACTGGAGAGTTGGAAGTGCAAAATTTGGACAGGCAGAAGGACATCTTGCTGGAATTTGGTTTCCTTACGAATGTCACTTGGCTTTCTCTTCCCTCTGATGGGAGGGGTTTTTTTAACCACAGAGTGTTATTCTGTGAAGGAAGGCAGATGAAGCGATAGTAGCAGCGGGAGAAGACAAGGTATTGTCCTAGGGACTAATTGCACAGCTTGACTTTCTAATTTGTTAGAATAGATGAAAATTCCCCACAAAGGAGAGCACACGCTTAAAACTGCTGACGGATTTTTCTACCTCATTTTTGAATAATAACAGAAATAATCATGATCTAATTGTAGAAAATTTGTTAGTCAAAAAATTAGTTGAACAAATTGTTCTTTCTAGTATATGAGTTAAATTTAAGATACACACACACCAGGGAAGATTATTCCTGAGGTATTTATGACGGCAAGATACCTGAAAAGTACTAAAAATAAAATGGAAAAACAATGACTTATAAAATCTCTCCTTTTAAATATGGAGTTACATGAAACGTGCTCTTTGAGCAACCTGGTCTAAGATTAAGTCAGCCCTGCTTTGAGCAGGGAGTTAGCCAAGGTGATCTCTAGAGGTCCTTTCAACCTAAATAGTCCTTAGATTCTGTCAAATGCCCACAATTAATAAGGTTGTGTCAGACTACTTCGAACCTAAAAATGCATCTCAGGTCTAACAGCAGAGATGGGCTCAGCCTCTAGTGGAAAGCGCTGAAGTCCCCCTCGAGCACCACAGCCTATCTTTATCCTAGGTTTGCCTCATCAGGTCCCTTGTCCTCACTTTCCACATAACCCCCTAGCAGCACACGGTTTTAGCTTGCTCCTATTTGTTTGCCAGCACCAAGTGGATGTGCAGCCCCTGAACAGTCTGAACAGTGTTTAAGAATAGGGTGGATGAGCTACTTGAGGATATGGTTTAATGGGGATTAGGGATGGTTGGACTCGATGATCTCTAAGGTCTTTTCCAACCTAGAAATCTATGAATCTATGAATAACATAACAGGATCCTGTGTGACAAATTAAGGCAGTCAGAATGAGGGCATGACAGGGAGTTCCTCAGTTCCCTCCGACTCAAATGCATCCACGTGAACACGGCAGTACACTTCCATCTGCTGAGGGAATGGCTCCCTTCTCCTGCCACCCTCCCTCCGCATACAGATGTGCTTGCATGTGGGCTGCACACTCCAGAAGGCAGACACTGCTGGATTTTAATCCCTCTGAATTCTCTGATGGATTAAACCTCAAATCTCTAACTGTCCTTCTTAATGCTGCAGAAAGTAACACGCATACTGCTTACACTGATTTACAGCTGAAATAAAAGCCAAAGACAGCCAAAATGAAATGCCTGAAAATCAATCTATGCTGCAAGTGGATGGGATGCTAAAGCGTTCTGGATTATTTTCTCCCACCACCCTTCACCCTGCCTGATGAGGAAAAAAACTCTGCCTTCGGCAAAAATAGTTGCAGGTACAGTATAACCCTCCACCTACCTGTAACCCTTCAATGGCCAGTTTGAGGATAGATGGCGTAAGCTTGGAGGCTTGCTTGAAGGAGAAGTTGCTCCAATCTATAATTAGAATGAAGCCGTTTATCTGAAGCTCCTGATCTTCGATGAGCACTTCTAAAGACAGTAGGATAGCCCGAAGGATATCTATGAAGGAGTTCCTAAAGCCAAAGCAGAAAAAAAAGTAAATTCAATGGTTGTAATTGTCTTCATACCTCATGATACTCAGCTTTGCTGTGGATGGGATATGAACAAGGGATAGGGATTTATTCTAGTACAATTCTTTTGAAAAGAGAGTTGTTTCAGAGGTGTCATGAAAGCATTCTTGCTCCAAAACTCACATTCCTCTGCTTGATGTGATAAGTCCTGCTCATTGGTGGATAAAATAAACCCCGAATTAAAACTTTTTGATTCTTCTGGCATTCCTTACAATATATTTTAGCTAAGCTACTTTGGGAAAATATTTCTCTATGGTGAAATAAATGGACTCAGGCTATCAGTTTAAATCCCTGCTCCTTTGGATATACTTTAAGAGGGTTTTTTTTAGTTGGTTGGGTTTTTTCCTTCTTTTCTTTCTATTGTGAAGAGGAAAATCAGAAAAGGAAATAAATTGGTATCATATTAATATAAATGGTATGGATGCTTGGCTTCCTGCTCAAGTGGAGAGAATGATCCAATGCTTTGCACAACAAAATTTGACTGTTGCCTTACTTCCACAAACCAAATGCAACATGGAAAATAGCTGCAACCACTCAAAATGGAAACTCTTTGTTAATTAGCAGCTACCAGGCTGGTTGCAAGGCTTCCCTCAGCTCTGGGAGAATAATTAGAAACCTTGAAGACCCTGAAAAAGATAGCAAGTGACAGAGAAGATAATCTTGAAATGTTTTCTTTAATGTGAAAGTCTGTACTGAGAAGAAGTCTGAGCCGCTCTCTACTTCCATCTCATGCATTTTACAAGAGCAAGAGTTGGACGTTTTAATGACTTATTCCATATTTACACCTGAGCAAGCTGAATCAGGCCCTCTAGTCATCTGTCCTTCCCATTCAGATGATTTCCAAACAACAGATTCTTTTAGAGAGCAACAAGCAAGGAAAGCTTCAGAAAGTACAGCTTAACCTTCTGCAAAATGGAATTGCAACATACTGCTATTGCAGTCTGCTTTGCCTCTGCATAATTCTCAAATTTTGATGAGGCCTGAGCTCTGTTACAAGGAAGGCTCATACCATGTTCTCCCATGGAGATTTTCATTTAATCCTTTTCTGCTGTTTTCTTTAATTTAAAACAAAACAAGTCATCTAAGCCTACAAGAGAGTTGTTCCAAATTCTGCCTGAGAGAAAAAACCTATGTCTAGTCAAAACAAACTTTTCTACTGTCAAGACCTCTGCCCCTCAAAGGCAGCAACACGTGATAAATTTCTATTAGAAGTAAATGGCAAAGTGTTTTCTTATTCTTTCTCTTCTCTCTTAGGTTTTGAGCAAAAATGTACATTCCTTCTTTAAAGACACAGTCCCTTGAAAAACCTTCTTCTGGCCTGTGCCTCTCTGCCTAAGTTCGCAGCTTCTCTGAAATATAATTGCTGAGGCAACTTGCAATACATAGAGCTTAAAGATATTTAACTTTCTTGCTGCTGAGTAGCAGACCACCCCTCCCTCATTTGCAGTAACAAGACAACCTTGACCTTTTCAAATTGTATGACGAAGCTGTGCTAAACAAACTGAAGGAGTACTTTTTATTTTCTTTAGTAATGTAAGGTGAAGGCATACCAATTGGATTGGCAACTGACATTTATTTTTAGTCTAAATTTATTTCAGAAAACTGTGATATGAATATAGTACCCACTGCCCAGCTGAAATGGGTGATGACTTTCACGAAGCAGCATTAAATTACTACACTTTCAGTGAAGAAAGAGCAATTTCACCCCTAGACTATATCTACTTAATATATCCTACATTACGCTATCCTAGAATCCTTAGGAGGGTCAGTCTTCCACAAGAACTGGCCCATGGAAGGTCTCAGAGGTGTGCAGAGTCTCCAAAAGCATCTTCACACACATCAGCCTTCTCTGCTCTCTTGTTGGCATCAACACAGAATGATATCATCATTCATGAATGAGCTTTCTGGCTAGATTGGGGAAGACTGACTAATCCAGAGCTTGATTTAACCCCACATTTGCAAATCTCAAAATTAACTGAAAACTTGTTATTATTGAAGGTGTGAAAATAGGGCTACATTGATATTACAAATGGTTTCCTCCTTTATTTTTTGGAAGACGTTTTCTTAATAGAAGATGAAAACTCATATTCATCATCCTGCTACCTCTGATACCTTAAAGGTTGTGTAATGATTTCAGCAGGGCTGTATGGAAATGGTTTATACAAGGGAACTTCTATAATCAACTTAAACTCTAAATAACAATGAAATATCTTGTTTGATTGAGAAAAATATTCCTCTCAGACTCTAGTCTTAGGAATTCCAATCTTTGTTTAGGTGTCTACATAAATTACCGGGTTATCAAGCAGTTTCTCACCTCTATTTCCCTGTACATTCAGTAGCAATTATTTGCCTGGGAGATAAGGGACCCAGTTTCCTTAGCGTGTAACTGATCGGGCTGTCCCCTACCCCGATCCCTCCCCTCCTTTAGGTACTTGCAGTTTTAAGACATGATATAGGAAACAACTGAAAGTGAACTCAAAGCTGGTTTTCAGATGAGTACAAGGAGACATGAAAGCAGCACACAAGTCCTCCAGGTGAGCTGTTTGCAGGCACCCTGTTTTGTGAATGCAAGCTCTGGATAGAAATCAGAGTGCCACTTGAGGCTGAAGCTCTCTACTCCCTAATCTTGAAGCTTTGAGACAAATCATTCAGCTATGTGACTGATTTGCATCCAAACCATTTTCTATGCATGAACACAGAACCGCTTTCTATTAGTCCATCTCTTTTGTTCCTTTGCTTAATGTTCCCTTCCCTCCTCCAACCCCCCCTCCCCACCAGTTTAACTCTCTCACATTAAAAAAAAAAAAAAAAGAAAAAAAAAGAAATTACTATTTCACAAAGGGAAATGAGTAAGGTGCTGTAGGGATTCAGCATGGAGCCTACTGAAGTGAGCCACTAATGAGTTACAAAAGATTTGCACAAACCCCAGAAAGACGAAAAGAAGGAGAGAGGCAGAGTGCCTATCTGCATTGGCTGAATGGAAAGGTACCACAAAAAAGACTCTTCAAATATCCTTTGGAAAATGGGAAGTCAGCCCAACAGAAACTAGTGGTAAGGAACAGTAACATAAAACAAAAATGAAGATGGTTTAGCTGAGGGATTTGGTGAAGAGATTAGCCAAAGGCATAACATGAAAATAAATAAGAAGAAATTACTTAATTATAAGAGGCGCAAGCAGGCTGCGAGAGAATCAAAAGGCTCAGTGGAGTAGAAGGGTGCAATGGGAACAATTAAAGGGGATAAAGACATTGCAGGGAAATTAAATGATTTATTTGCATGTCTCTGCCACCAGTAATTTTGAAGAGATACATGGATAATAAAGCTGAGGAACTGTTGGAAAATAAGGGGTCAAATAAGACACGCTGCAAGGTGATACATTTTGGAGAAACAGCATCGATAAAGGCTTTTGACATTACTGTCTCTGAACAGTTAAGCAGAGGCTCCGTTTTAGGCATGCTAGTGAAATTAATTGGATTATTCTGATGGTTAAAAGTATGAGCATACAGAAGTACTGGCAGCTGAAGCCATTAAGACTGTCTGGTAGTAAGCAAAAACAAACTGTCACTGAAAATCCTGTCTGTCCCTCAAGACAGCAGATTAACAAAGTTTGGACCAGTGTCATTATCTCAACAGTTGCAGACAACTCAGGTGAACATCCCTAAGTTAGGACAGGGTAAGAGCCTATTTCTTGTAATACTTAAAAGGTGGCTTAGTGAAATGCAAACGTGCATAAAAGGAATTTCTTGTTAAAAACACAACTCAGGATGCCAAATCAATTAATTTATCACCTTTTAAACATAACATGGAAGTATACTTACAACACCATCATATTTAACGTAAACTAACAAAAGACTGAGCAATATAAAACTGGTTTCATTGAGTCTGTTTGAAGACCTAAGAAGAGAAGATAGTATAGTACATCTCTCAAAAAAGCAATGGCCAAGGCTGAATAACATTTAGCAAGCTGCAAACATGGCATAGAATCATAGAATGGTTAGGGCTGGAAGGGACCTTCAAAGGTCATCTAGTCCAACCCCCCTGCAAGGAACAGGGATATCTCCAACTAGATCAGGTTGCTCAGGGCCTCGTCCAACCTGGCCTTGAACGTCTCCAGGGATGGAGCATCCACCACCTCTCTGGGCAACCTGTTCCAGTGTTCTACAACTCTCATGGTAAAAAATTTTTTCCTAACATCTAATCTGAATCTACCTCCCTCTAATTTAAAACCATTACCCCTTTATGGCACCAATCATTCTTATCCAGCTGGACTGAGTTGAGATAATGAACTACTAATTAACTACTCA